TTTAGCATCATCTAAGCAGTTCCTTTTACTCCATTTCTTTCAAGACAACTTAAGACTCTTTCAATTCTTTTTGACACTTCTACCGGATCAACAACAAAGACGGGCTGGTCCTTACCAAGATCAAACAATAGACCTTATCTATAGAGATTCAAGTTCTATATATTTTTGGTCATTGTGTGTGACCCGAAACTTGATAAAATGAATTACAATGCTGCCACGTACAACTAATCTAGTCTAGTAGGGGAAGAAACAAACTAAACTACTTCGACCTATAAAATACCCAAACGGCTGCCACTTGCATCCTTACTTTATGTCAGCCCAGTTGGCCCACTATGAAAATGGATCGAGAATGTTATCAGCGGCCCACTCACCTGCCTTCTCCGTAAATTACTTGTCTCGGGAGACTACCAAATCATCCATCCCGCACGGCTCAGAGCATCGCACAGATATCACATGGCCTTTCTCGCCATATAGCTCTGCCATCGCCACCGCCACCGCCTCGGCCTCTTCCCCGGCCCGTCCTGGTGGGAGCCCTTCTCGCAGTCGCGGTACCGCATCTTCGGCTCTCCTTCATCGTGTCTGCTGCAGCGACACTGGCCGACTTCGAGTCTCCAACCGCCCTGCGCGAGCGCTCCTTCCCTCGCAAGCGGCCTGTGCGGCGCTCCCCGACGTGCTCCGGTCAGGTGAATTCGCTGACGACCGCATCTCCTCCGCTGATACCGATCTCCACCTCGCCGCGCTCGTGCCCCAATGAGGTAATGAGTTAATTTCTGGTGAGTGTGTATGACTGAAGATATTGATAGAAGTTCAATAGACCGTGGAATGCGTATGAAGGTGTTTGGGACTTCATGTTGTATGTCATCGACACAATAACACCTAACACGATTCATGTTCCTTGTTACATATAGTTCACGAATCAAAATATTTCATTATTAGGGTATAATTGTTTGGTGAGGAGAAGGCGTTGAAATAAATGCTGTAGTAGATCCTTTTTTTTGCTGTAGTTGTTGTATGGTCATGTATTCGTTCCACCAGTATGTGCTTATAATTATTTGACAATGGTTATTTATCGTGCATAAATCAAAAACTGCCTGTTTTCTGTACACGTATGTCTTACTTACTTATGCTAATAATAGAACTACTATTGAGGTCATTCATTCTAGAGAATTTTCATGATTTAGTTTATCGGTGGCAAGCATAAAGTGCCCTACGTAATGGTTTTTGGGTACAGTGTGAACTTACAATGCTTTGCTGATGCATTTAATGCACAGAATATGTGTTTGATCAAAATATCCTGAAATACTATTATATGAATTGGATGGGCACTGGGTCAGCATCTAAGCAATTTACCATATCTTCACTTAATCCAGAGGTTTTCAGACATCACCAGGGTGGCTCTTCTAATCATATACTACCTACATTTGATTGTCTGTTTATTAAATAGTGTTATACGGGAAAGAGATATTACTAAATCATCTTGCATAAGTAACAGTCACTTTTCTATTTTTCTAATTTCAGGATCAGATGATCTTTTCTGTTCTTGCTTTCTAAGTCTTATTTGCTATAGACTGTACACGTATTGTGCAACAACACTACTACAAAAATGATTTCAGGAGACGGACATTTTATTTACAGAGGCGGACATTTTATTCCATTGCCTCTAAAAATTGTCTGGGGGCCAATAGTCTCTCCCTGCCTCTCTGAATAGATTTTCAGATGCAGGCACCTTAAAAAGACCATCTCTGAAAATAAGGTCATTTTCAGAGATGACCTTCTTATGAGGCTGTCCAATTACAGAGGCCTCACGCGGATTACAGAGGCGATTTCTTACACAGAGGACTTCTTAGATTTGAGTCATGCATTGCCGGTGATGACAAGCTTATGGCATGAGCCTCGGTAACTTTTTTGCGCTTCGGGCAATCTTTTGCCCGAGTTATTGGCGGCCATGATTAATGTGCCAAAATGCTAATCTGCTCTCCACATTTTTTGTTTAAATCAGAACAATCTTCTGCTCTGAACGCCTCAGAATTAATTTGGGTCTGCTGTTGCAGCTTCAGTCGATCTAGGCCTGGATCCACCGCAGATTGTTTTAAGCTGGGGCAGCACATATTCTTTTGTGATGGGCAAATAAATCATTACGTCTAATTTTTTTTGACTAACCAGAAGAACAGATATCATCCATACATATTGTGTCTGTTAGAGATTGCTTCACATATTCTCCAACAGGTGATCTTGATGGACAAGCATACACATATTCATGCATGTTTCATCTCAGTAGATTGATGATTTCTTCAATATTTATCCATGATATGTGCTGCATTCCAGTTCTAGTTTGTGTACATGGAGGATTTTATTTGTTCTTGTTAACCGGTATGCTGATGCTGTTCTTGTTACCTTGTGGTTCTCCTGTAGTTGGATGACTGGGTGCACCGCCAGGAATACAACAAGAAGAACAATTGGGAGAAGATGCAGCGGCAGAAGGAAAGGGACAAAGGGTGCACTGGGCTCAAGAAGGTTCTGGTTGGCGATGGTTTGTGGCACCCCAGTGATGCAGGCGGAACTGTTTTTTTTATTGATTTGCAGAGGCGGGGATCATTAGACACCTGCTTCTATGAACTGAAAGTACTGTTGGCTGATTTGTTGTGAGAGAAAAATACTGTTCGTTGGCTGAAAAAGTACGACTTATAAGCCAAGCGAACAATGAATTTCAGAGATGGACATGTTTGCCATTTACACAGGCGCTCCCGCAGAGGTGGTTGAGCAGGTCGCTTTTGTAAAGGTGTTTTGCCCAACTCTGTAAAGGGACTTCTAGTAGTGTATTGAATCTAGATAAAATAGGCTAAACAAGACTTAGGTGCAAAAAACATCAAGCTATGCCAGTATTTTGGGTTTGCTAATTACATGGTTGCTGATCTAAATACAGGTTTTGGCCCATAATGTAAATGTAGGCTGCATGGTTGCTGATCTAAAATGGGGTTTGGCCCTCTGTTCTTCTATGCCATTGCAGAGTTGGTTGTCACGAAATTGAGACGGGTCTCGTGTGTAGGTGGTTTTTTCTAGACTGCAGCAGACATAGAATCTTAAAGGTTAGGATGGGCAGGAGATGGATTTTCTGTTGTATGATGCTACCTATGCGTCGATTTTAATTTTGTGTAATGTAAGCATTCTGCTTGGTTGGCACTGACTGTGCATCATCTGATTTATCTTGCTCCTTGACAATTTGAACATTTGGGTATAGATGTGCTGATGTGTGTGACCAGCACATGATATGCAGTACATGTGAACATGGTATGTCAATGTGTTTGTTCTACCATGATGGCAGTAAGGAGTTCATTTCTGCCAAATATGTTTACAATAAAGTCCAATGGACCATGCGATGAGTAGACATGTTCGAACTCAGGGAATCAATGTTCCAGCTCTGTAATGTACATTTACTTGCCATGATGTAACCTTTTGCATATAATTCAGGACCAGTACGCCCTATGCGCTGGTTGTGGTTTCATGTGTAGAAGCGTTTGAATCAACAATGTGATTAATTTGATTTTTGTTATTCAGCCACGTCAGAGCGTGTAACTTTTCTATGAACATCTGCAGCATATATGCTTCATATATACGTGGTATTGATGAGTCTGCTATTATCTTGTTTGATGACAGGTTTTGGCCCTTTTCTTAGTCATGTTTCTGCAGATATTATCGTAAACAATGAGATGTCTTCAAAATCTTCTTCTGTATATGTCAGTTATGTCTGGATGATCCAGTTTTATATCACTACAACAGTGTTACTTCTTGGACTGAAACCTGTGTTGTGTATGGCAGTTATAGGTGTTAGATTGTAATTAAGAATTCATTTCATAGAAGTCAACACGTCATGTTCTTTAATTTTCTGTAGTGAAACACATGAAAATGTACCAGGCATGCATAATTGTAACGTTGTGGCAAGCACCGAGTATGAATGATATATTGTTTCATAGTTGGCCGATGGGCATAAGCTTATTTAGGTATCGTTCGTTTCTTACGGAACCGCCCGGAACGAGACCCAATCCGCCCAGATCAGAACTACCTGGAACAAAAACTTGCCCAACAAAGATTGCCGCTCGGTTAAGCTTGGCCTGGAATAGAATCCGAAGGGTCCTGTTCGGCTGGGACATAAGCCGGCTGGTTTCGCCTGATTCAATAGTGTTCTGTAAGGGAGAATAAGCTGAAATAAGCTGACTCGGCTGAAAAGTAGTTCAAGCGAACACGACTGCATTCCTGGTCTCTTGACATCCGGAACCAAATCACCTGGATCTCACTTGTTCCCCTCCTAGAACCGTTCCTGCTGCAGTTTCATTCCTAAGAAAACGAACAAGGCCTTAGTTATCTGAAAACTCTCAAGAAGTTGCATGTTCTACTATGATGGTCTCGTGCAAGCTACAATTTGTGAAGAAATAAATATCTGTGACTTGCCTTAATAGAAACAATTCGCACCATTTGGAGTATAAACAAACGAGAAATTGATGTGAGGCTTGTTATGTACATTCACTTGCAAGCTGCATTTCCAGACACACCATACACGGCCAGCAAGCTGAAAGAAGCTGTATCATCATAATGTTTGTTCTGTAACGACTCAACTTATTGTATATATACATGCCTCTCAATTCTCAAGTGGCAAACTGCATCAACATTCAACAGTACACACAGATGCAAATCACTGAAATAAACCCGAACAAATTCACATCACATTCTAGTCTCCTGTTATTTGCAATGTCAAATATCTGACCGCCTCAGAACAACCCGCTGGCAAAAAAAAAAAAAGAATAAATTCACACACCACAAATTATGCATTGCTGCTTCTTCAGTCAAAGACATGGCAGCTCCAAGGTTCCTTCTGCCCATGTAGGCACATACGGGCACTCCACCTGCAGGCAAGGTCCATCTGCAGTGTTAGACGCCCCTTAACGAAGAACTAGTAACTAGTACTATATGTATTAACAATAATAGTCTTGGAGCTGCATACTTGATTACTCCCTCAGTTGTTCCACATTGACACGTTCTTCTTCGATTTCATCCCTTGAAATTTCCTCCACTTCATCCAACAACACTTCCTCCGTTTCATCCCCTGAAACTAAACGGCACATCCAGTCAAGTGACGAGATATTCCAATAGCAAGAAAAGGTACAAACTCAGTATGCAACGTATGAAGCAGCAGTTGTGTTAATTTACCTGAAGCGTCAGCAGAGAGGCTGATGTTTGTCTTAAAGCTGAAAGGATCGCTTGTGTACTTCACGTACCACTTCCTTTCAATGTGGTTGTCAAGGTCATCTGCATATGCCTTAACCTGCTTGATATGGCTGAACTTGTCCCACTTGGGGCTAGATTTCCCTCTAGCTATGAAAGTGAGCAGCGAGATGTCACATTCTAGACGCAGATCCCTTGGGTTTACGTTCCGCAAGTATCCAGGGAGTGTTTTCATGTCGTAGTCCTCTAGTATGAATCTCTGAAGTGCAGGAAAACCCTCTAGTACCTTCAACTCTGGGCACCGCATGATCACGAGGTTCTGCAAATTTGCCAGATTGCTGATCCTCTCGAGGCCAGGACATTTAATCACCTCAATTTTTGAGCATACAGATTACTTGATACAAAGAGAATCGATCACAGAACATTCGCCGGAGACATGTCGATTCTGGAGGCGATCCCCTTCCTCTCGCCATGGAGCTTCTTAGGTTGATCTCCTTCCGTCGCCATGGACCTACTTTCGGCCAGGGAAGGTTGTTGAAGCTGAAATTCTGCGCAAGTTTGGAACCTCGGTTTGTGTTCATCCCTCTTTCCCTTCGAAAGGATTCTTCCTCGTTCTCTCTTTTGGAAGATGCAAATTTCGCTTGTCTGAAGATTCAGTGGCCCTAATTCTTCAGGCCACCATTGGTGGTGATGCAGCTCTGTTCCGTGTGCACTTTGTTAGTGACAGAGTTTTCAGGTTCAGTGTATGCTCTCAGGATGTTGGTTTTCATATCTATAAGCTCAGAGTTTTTGAGTGCTCCAACTACAAAGTCTTCTTCCACCTCTGGCATGGTGGGGGTCCAAATTATGCCTTGGAATATCGGAATTGGATTGCTGAGGAACATGCCTCATGGACGTCGGTTAACAAGAAGGCCACTGTCCCTGCATCGTCAAAATTGGTATGTCCTCCTCTTACCGGTGCCAATGCTGTTCCTGTCAACCATGGCTTCCCTGTTTCAAGCTCCTCGGCCATGGAGTTTTCGAATTTCAAATCATCTTTTAATTCAGGCAGAAAGTCAGTTTTTATGAGACTTGAATCCGGGACAAATGGTATTTTTAATCATATAAATGGTGCTTTTAATCATAGGACCGTTTCTCATTTCCAAGCGGGTATTTTGGGCTCTGTTCCCAATCCCAAACGTGTAACTCCTGGATTTGGGCCTTTACTACGCCTATGCTCCAACTGCTTGTCTCCGGCCCATAGTTTCTGGGGCGTGCAGACTCCCGCCTCGATCCTCGCTTCGTGACCCTCTGCATTCTAGAGTTCATCGTCCTTCTGCGACGCTGGCCGGAGGACCGCTAAGACAGACTGCCCCGCGAATTTTTCACTCGGTCACCGATTACATTAAAGAAATCAGCGGCATTACCTTCATTCCTACTCCTGTCACCGTCCCCTAGAGGCGGTCTTGGCGACTCCGAGCTCCAGAGTTCGACGACGACGACGACGGTGAACTTGCTGCCCCTGCCGCAGCAACCTCATCGGAGTCCCCGATCATTTGCTCTTCGCTTGGTGAGTTCGCTTCCAAGCTCTTTGGCATTCGCCACCCGCCTGCTACCGTTCATGTTGCCTGGACTCTAAAAACCCCAACTCCTGCTACAGTGTCTTCTGAATCGCCTCCAATGGCATACAGATTTGTTGATCCGACTCCTTTTATGCCTGAATGGGGTCAGCGAGTGATGGTTCCAGGTCGTCCTGCGATGCACCGTGTCGTTACGGGCAGGATTCAACGACGCAACAATGATGTTGCCATTGCTTTCATTCACCCACTGCCGTAGAATCAGATGGACTTCGATGTCATCCATGACACCTTGGCAGAGTTTCTGAATGTGCAGATGCGTATGCCTTATCAGGCCATACAGCCTTGTCCTTTTGGTCAGGCCTACGTCACTTTCAGTCACATGTCGCATAGAGATTATCTTATCAACAGTGCTCCTCATCAGTTTGGCAATTTTCACATTTCTTTCATAGCACATGATCGTGCTTGGAACAATAGAACTGCTGTATACACCCATGAGGTGTGGTTGCTGTTGATTGGCCTCAATCTTGATCTGTGGTCATATTCCTTGGTTGATAAGGCTATTTCACAGTTTGGTAAACTTATAGTCTGGGAAGAAGATCACAACCATATGGGTCGTACTCTGGTAAAGGCAAGGGTTACTGGGTTGGATGCTATACCGTGGTTTCTAAATTTTTCTGAAGGTGAGGAACCTGAATCTGACAGTTGGACTGTGCAAACTGAGATTATTTTAACTAGGATGCTTGGAGCTATGCCTCAGGATGAGGACTTTCCACCAGAGGATCCAGATGATGTTGACCCACATCATTTTCATTTCTTTGGCTTTGGTCAGCCAGGTCAAGACCTACCTCCACCACCACCAGGCAACAATGGCCCTTTTGCTGCAATCCTTTTCCATGCTGATGCTGTAGACCCTGCTTGGGCCCCCTGGAATCCAAAGGCAGCCCAAGGCAATGCTTTGAATCAGCCTGCACCTCAGATTGCAGCCCAGATTGAACTTGGGCCTTTGCCTGAAGAAGTTCCTCTTCTAATTCCATTTCAACAGGTAGAACAGCCAGTGCATGAAGGTCAAGTTGCTGATGAAAATGATCTGCCACTCCCATTAGAAGAGGTTATTCAGAACATCCCAGAATTGCAGAAGGCACCCCAATTGGCTGAAGAACAAGTTTTAGCCATGGATGATGATACAGACACAGATTCTGATGCTTTTCAGCAGGTTCAGCTACCTATCCCAGAGGTTGAGATTGTACCTTTCCCAGACTTTAACAATCTTCAACCTTTGATGCCTGAAGAAATTCAAGAAGAAGATTTAATGGGTTGGATCAATGAAAATGAGAATGGGGTCAATGAAAATGAGAATGCTCCTCAGCCTCCACAGCAAGTTAATGATCATATTCAGTTAGGCTTTGTTCAAGTTCAGAATTCTTGGCCTCAGAAGGATGTTTTTGGATCTTACCCTGCTATGCTGCACAAGAGTACTCCTTGCTCATGTTTTGAGTATGGACAGTCATCTAAACAGCCTCTTCCTGTAGACCCCTTTCAATTTGACAGCTCCACTTGGGACAGCACATCTGTTGGAGACAGTGTAGGGGAAGCAAGTAAGAACACTCCCAACCCTGCCACATTTAGGATGTGGACCAAATTCTTTTCCCACAGAGACCCAGGGCTGCCCACAGTCACCATTCCAGCTGAATGGATGGATTTCTTCACTATGATGCTACTTAAAGATTCTTCTAATGAGTGGGCCACACAATTCCTTCGGTCTCAAGCTTGGACCCATCTCTCCAACTCTTCTTCTGGTGATTGCTATACTTTTTCTCTTCCTAAATCCAAGCCTTCAGTCATTATTTCTGAACTGTGTTGCTCTGACCATGCAGAGGAGCAAGCTGGTCCTTTTGACCCTTTTCAGACAATAGAGGAACACCCCTCTCCCTTGGAGAAACTGAAACAGCCTTCTCTGAACTCTCAAGCAGAACCTATGGACTTGCTTGATCCCTCTCAGAACCTGGAGAGACCCCCCCCCCCCCCCTGGAGAAGGATCAGGCCTCTCTGGATCTTTCAATTATGGCCACTCCTATTAACAAGAACAAGGGGACAAAAAGAGGTAAACCTGTCATTGTTTCTGAATCTCAAGTCAGGCGTAGTACTAGAATTCATGCCCAAAATAGAGGCTTTAAACCATCTCTTTGCAAAGATAAAAGCTGTCTTAGATGTGACACTAAGCTACCTGTGATATCTGCTGCTGCAGTTCGAGATCTGGGAGCAAGCTTCTGCAAGGTGAACCCAAAGAATTTGACTGATGAAAAGCTTCTTTCCAAGCCTGCTGCCAAAAAACCTGTTGGAAGGCCCAAGTCCAAGAAGGCCAAGAATAGTGGTGGTAATATCAAACCTGGTGATGATGAGGCCGAGAGCAGCAACACAAGGCCTGCTGAGGAGGAGCCTGGGCCATCCAAGAAGCCTGGCCCAAAAGATTGCTGATGCTGCCTTTGTTCTTAGTTATCTAAGAAGCTTTTGTAACTATTTTCTTTATTAGAACATGAATAATAGAACTTGGAAAGTGTTAAGTTGGAATGTCAGAGGTATCAATTCGGACAAAAAATGGAACTCTATAAGGGATCGTATTGTAGAAAGTGCTTGTGACATTGCTTGCTTTCAAGAAACAAAGCGAGCTCATTTTGACTTGACCTTTATTAGACTCTTTTGCCCACCCTCCTTTGATTGTTTTGAGTTTCTGCCCTCTGTGGGGGCCTCTGGTGGTTCACTCATCATTTGGAAAAGCTCCTCTTTCAATGGCAAATGTGTTTTCCAAAATTCTTATGCTGTCTCTGTTGTATTCTCCTCTCTGTATAATGGTGCAACCTGGCTTCTTACCAATATTTATGCTCCTTATACCCCATCTGGGAAAAGAGATTTTTTGAGGTGGTTCAACCATATCCAAATGCCTGCCTATGTTGATTGGTTATTAGTTGGTGATTTCAATCTTTACAGAAATCCAGAGGATAGGAATAAGCCAGGTGCTGATTACTCTGAAATGTTGCTGTTCAATGAGGCCATTAGTAAGTTGGGTTTAGTTGAGTTACCACTGAAAGGAAAACGTTATACTTGGTCTAATAAACAACTCTGTCCTTTACTTGAAAGGTTGGACTGGTTTTTTACCTCCTCATGCTGGACATTGAATTATCCTCACTCTTGTGTCACTACCATGAGCATGGAAACTTCTGACCATACACCTTGCCTTGTTTCCATCAATACAGTCGTCCCAAAGACTAAGACTTTTCGTTTTGAGAATTTTTGGATGCGCCATGAGGATTTCTTGGACCAGGTTCAAGTTGGTTGGTTCACTACTGCACAACACCTTGATGCAGCCAAAGCTTTAACCTCCAAATTTAAAAACCTTAGAAATGTTTTGAAGGACTGGAGTCATTCTTTATCCAATTTTTTCTCTCGAATACGCAAAAGATTTGCGTATCATTGTAATTAAGAAGAAGAGTTTAACCATACACCCGACACGCTTCTAATGAGCGCCCTAGGAGGTCTTACAGTGGTGACTGGACCTTCCTAGCAGATTATTTCAAACTTCGATATTACATAAAAGTAAACAACTGAACTAAGGGCAGTGCAGTAACCTACGGAGCTGGGCGTCTCCGCTACTGGCCGCGCGACTCTGCTCCGTCATCCGAGAAGAGTCTTCTACCAGTCATAGCATTGGTCGCCGTGAATAGCACGTCCAATGCTTCCACTTCCCTCGACATCAAGTTTCTTGCGAAAAAAGTCGTCGTAAGCTCTCTTGGAAACTTGTGCTGGGATTCCTTAATTTATTGGAGGAATTTAGAGATCTTTCACTCATTGAGTGGAATTTCAGAGCTATCTTGGAAGAAAAATTGATATCTTTACTCAGTCAGCAAAAGGCTTATTGGAAACAAAGGGGGCAAATTAAGTGGGTGACTTTGGGTGATGCTAGTACACAGTTTTTTCATGCAAATGCTACAGTCAAATACAGAAGAAACCTGATTACCTCCCTCATTGATGATAATGATAATGCTCTCTATGATCACGATTCTAAGGCAGAGCTACTTTGGCAATCATTTAAGGGTAGGCTGGTTGCCTCAAAATTTTCAGGAATTCAGTTTGACCTTTCACAGCATTTTGATGAACAGAGAGCTCTAGATCTCTCTCATCTTACTGATTTTTTCTCAAAGTCAGAGATTGACCAAGTGGTTAAAAACCTCCCCTCTTATAAAGCTCCAGGTCCAGATGGCTTCAACACAGATTTCATAAAGAAGTGCTGGCCAATTATTTGTGATGACTTTTACAGGCTCTTTGATGATTTCTACAGTGGGCACATTTGTTTGCAAAGCATCAATGGTTCATATATTACCTTGGTACCCAAGAAGGATGGTGCAGTCAAAGTTACAGACTTCAGGCCAATATCTTTGTTGAATAACTCCATAAAAATCATCACAAAGGTACTCGCAAACAGGTTACAAGTGGTCCTGCCTTCCCTAATTCATAAAAATCAATATGGCTTTATTAAGAAAAGATCCATACAAGATTGTTTAGCTTGGTCACTGGAGTATCTACATATGTGTCATCAATCAAAGAAAGAGTTAATTATTCTAAAGTTAGATTTTGAAAAGGCTTTTGATAAGGTTGAACACCAACTTATGTTACAGATCATGAAAGCAAAAGGGTTTCCTGACCAATGGTTGAATTGGATGCAGCAGATTTTCAATTCTGGAACATCAGCAATTCTGTTAAATGGTGTACCAGGCAAAGTTTTTCATTGTCTTAGGGTGGTGAGACAAGGAGATCCACTCTCTCCTTTATTGTTTGTTCTGGCTGCAGATTTTTTACAGATCCTACTGAATGAAGCTTGCTCAAATGGAGATCTTACCTTGCCTCTTCCATTGAATCATGATCAAGACTTCAGCATGCAGATGACACTTTGATCTTCATGCAAGGTGACAGTGATCAAGTTACCTTTCTTAGAAATCTGCTCAATAGATTTGGTGAGTCCACTGGACTTAAGGTAAATTTTGAAAAGTCTTTCATGGTGCCCATAAATGTACAGCGGGACAATTTTGATGAGTTAGCTACTTCTTTTGGTTGTGCAAAGGGTACCTTACCATTTACCTACCTTGGTATGCCACTTAGCATTTCTAAACCAACAGTTGCAGACTTCTGGCCTTTGGTTAATAAATGTGAAAGAAGGCTTATTAGTATCTCATCTTTTCTAAGTCAAACTAGGAGGCTAGAGCTGACAAATGCAGTTTTCTCTGCTCTTCCCACTTTTGCTATGTGTACATTCAGCCTTCCCAAAACAATCATCAAGCAGATAGATAAATACAAAAAACATTGTTTATGGAGAGGTTCAGATATAAACAACAAAAAGCCACCAAAGGCAGCTTGGCCTATGGTCTGCATACCAAAGGAGGAAGGTGGTTTGGGTGTTATTAATTTGAGAACTCATAATGAATGTCTTTTACTTAAACATTTGGATAAATTCTACAATAGGGCTGATGTACCATGGGTCCAACTTGTATGGAATAAATATACTGATGGAAAGCTTCCGCGAGTCACCTCCAACTTCAGAGGATCATTTTGGTGGAGAGACTTACTGAAATTATTGGATTCTTTTAAAGGTATGGAAATGGCTTCTATTCACAATGGCACCTCCTGTTTCTTTTGGTTGGATCTCTGGGGAGGGCAGGTTTTGCAACATTCTTTTCCAGAACTCTTCTCATTCTGCAGAGATACATTTGTTTCAGTCAAGGCAATTAAGTCTACAGCAACAACCATTAATTTGTTCCACTTGCCATTGCCCACTGAAGCTTATGAGCAATTTCAGCAACTTGACATCATTATTCAGAATACACAGCTCGATTCAGATTCAGATCAATGGAGATACATATGGGGTTCAAATATTTTCTCTTCAAGCAAAGCTTACAAAGTACTCATTGGGAGTTCCCAAGTACACCCAATATACAAATGGCTTTGGAAATCTGCATGCCAAAACAAGAGAAAATTTTTCTTTTGGCTTTTACTCAAGGACAGGTTGAGTACATGAGAATTACTCAGACGTAAAACAATGTTTCTGCAAGATTATAACTGTGTTCTCTGTACTCATGGTGTAGAAGAGTCTCTCTTCCATCTCATTTTTGACTGCCCTTTTGCAATGGCTTGCTGGAATACTCTGAATCTGTTGGTACCAGTGTCTTCTTCACCTTTGCAGATTTTTTAAGCCTTCAAGACTCAACTACATGTGCCATTCTTTATGGAAATTTTGGTAACGATGTGTTGGTCTATTTGGACTGTTAGGAATGATGTCATTTTCAAAGGAATTCCAGCCTCCATCCAACGATGCAAGTTGATCTTCAGGACAGAGTTTGCCTTAGTTATACTAAGGGGAAAAACAGTTTACCATCCAACAATTGATACATGGCTAGAAGCTTATGTGTAATCCTTTTAATTTTCTTTGTAACCTTCTTTGTATCTTGATTCCAGTTTTTGAGAACTGTAGAACTGTAAAATTAGTATTTCAATAAAAGCACAGTAGGGGGCTTTACCCCTCCTGTTTTCCCTCAAAAAAAACCCTCAATTTTTGAAATCAGAACCACCTGGGAGCTCATGATGGTGTGGTATTAAGAACTCTGGCCCAACACGCTTGATGGCTGGGGCGCTTTCAATCTGTAGCAACTCCAAGCTGGGGAGCTGGAACAAACCATCGGGTAGCTCCGCGCAATAAGGCAAGTCTTCCATTGCTAGATTCCTCAAGCTTCCAAGGGACGCCATTGCTGTCGACGTCATCCACCGTGGAAGTAGTTGACTAAGGTAACCTTGAATTTTTAGATTTTCTAAGCAAGGTGGACGGCAGAGCTCATCAAGCACCTTCTCGGTTTCTTGCTGCTCTTCATGTTTTACCAACCGTTGAGCACCTCCACGTCTACTAGTGCACTCTAAGTACAAAAAGCTGAGGTGCACCTTTTCACCAAGCCTGGCCTTTATAGCAAACGAGGAAGAAGATACATTCTCCAGGCCATGGCCATGTATATGAAGCACCATGAGCTGGTTAAGGGACCCTAATTCTTCCAAACTACAGCAATCACCCTCCACGTGGGCTGGAAAGCCCTTCAATATTCTCAAATTAGTTAGGCCGCCCAAACCCTTAGGTATATTGTTTATACCTGAGTCAAAGAGGCTTAGGTACCTCAGCTGATGTAACCTCCCAACGCCACCAGGAAGCTTCACCAAACTTTTACAATTAGAAAGGTCAATGCACTGCAAGAATTTCATCTTAGCTATTTTTTCTGGCAAAGGTGTCAGTGCCATCTAGGGACAAATACCTCAAGTGTTTGAGTTGGAACAAGGATTCTGACAATACATCGAAATTTCCATCTTCTATATGTCGAGTCTGCAAACATGGAAAAGATGACAGAATCATCTGGGTTGATTTTTATTCCCCCAACTAAAATTAGTGTCCGTAGTGATATATGTGCTTGCAGAGAACTCCACCCATGCTCATTGGACTCTGATCCTTTGGTTTTTAGTGATATCCGAAAAACATTTTGTGGATTAATATAATTGATAAGGCCAGCCTCGCTTTTGTGAGCTATCATTGCTTCATCTCTAGCTAAATACTGAGCAAATGAGCGAATGACGTCATGCATATTGCAAACTCCCTGGTCCACAAACCTTGGAACAGGCTCTAGAAGGTTCCTAGCTATCAACTGGTCATAGTACTCTCTTCCTAATACTTCAAAATCTTGTGAGTTTCCATGAATAAATCCTTCACTAATCCACATGGCAATAATGCAGTCATGCGAGAAAATTGTGCTCTTGGGGAGGAGGGCGTAGTGCAGAAAGCAAGACTTCAAATCATGATGCAAATCTTGATAGCTAAGGTATATTGCATAGTTTAGATCTTCAGGCATTTGGGATACTAACCATGTAGAATCATTTAGGACATTTTTCCAGTCGCTTTGCCTTGTGTTTCTCTGGCGGAGAAGACCACCTATTACTTTGACTGCGAGAGGCAAACCATCACATTTTTCTATAATCGACATTACAATGTTCTTCAGTGTATCTTTTATTCATCATTATTTTCATTTCCGACCACCTGCAAGCAGCCGCATGGCAAAACTTATTATATATGTAATATGTATAGCACTACGGTGCAACTAGGTGACGTCTGTGGACAGAAGTGGTCACTCTAGCATTACCGACTCTTGTATTTTATAGTCACCGTATTATGTACCAGAAGTTTATATTCACTCCTGTAGCTTTTATTAAAAATTTATTTTACTAAAATTGAATGAACTATCGTCTCAGCCTACACTTGGGCATTAAAAATGTTGAACTTGTTATATCAAAGTATTATATATGTAGCAATATTATTTTGTAGAAATATAGAATAATTAAAATTAAATTACTAGTATTGATATGACATATTATTTCTGCCAAAATTTATAAACTTATTTAAAATAAAAACTTACAAAATTTATTTCCATATCTTATAAATGTAATATCAAATAAATAGTCAGTATCTTTATTTATTTTATATATGTGGTTTGTTAACGAAGATTTTTACCATTTGATTAATTATTAAATAAAGAGTAAATTTCACTGGCAGTCGCCGAACTTGTCCCGAGTTCTCGTCTAGTTCTCAGTACATTCAAATTGCACAGCATCCTTTGTGTTGGGATCATTTTTCCAACACAATGTATCTAGAAAAGCCAAAATTTCCTATAATTTAGATTGGAGGGAGTAGGATGGAAAGAAAAATAGAAAGACCAGGGAGAGACTAGGCTTATGCACATCGATTTGTTGCGGGGAGAGAGAATGCTCCGTTGATGGATCCAGCCTCGGTGCAGTCGTCAGCAGCTCGGCCTGGATACTGGCTACTGCTCTACTTGACGGAGGGTGGCAGAGGTGCTGGTGAAGGCTGATGGGCATATGGCGAGGATTGTGGTTGGCTAGCGCCAGAGAGCGCGGAGGAGCTGAAATCGACTTTTTTTTAGAGAGCTGAAATCGACTTAAGCAAAGAACGGAGACGTGAATATGATGCATTTTTGAGAGAGAGAGAGAGAGAATGTACCTCAATTCGCAGGGGTTCTGTTCTTGTGATCTGCAGGTATTTGGTTTAGGAGGAAGAGGACCGGGGTACTCTGTTCTACCGAAAGCAGTGCTCTTGTAAGGGTTTCAAGAACAATACTAATAGTATTGAACGAAGGCAGTACGAAGGCAGTGTTCGGGGATATTTAACTTTTTCTATTATAACGGATGACAACTTTTGAGGTAGCAGCTTTAGGATTGACGATACAGTTAAATATCCCCAGTGTTCGTGTGCATCTCCTCTATTTCAGTACCACTACCACCACTCCATGCGTCTCTGCTAATCATAATTATTGCTTGTCATCTGGGACGGCTCAATTAATAAGAACATTATTAAGCATCGAATGCATCCATGGTGATTTGTTGGTGTCTTGTGCATCGAATATTATTAAGCATCGAATGCAGTATTCTCTCGGTCTCTCCGCAGCTGCATTTTGCTAGTTTGTAGGCTTCCGTTGCATTACGCGTTGAACAAGTATAGGTAATGTCTCGTTGTCTCCCTCGGCCCGTAACAACCAGCTAGCATGTCGTAATCACCAGAAATGGGCACTATACTTACTAATATAATTGACGCATATGATAAAAACTGTCAAGCTGGTTTATCGATCTGAAGAAGCAGCGCTCACAGCACCCACTCGGAGTCTTGACAAACCAAAAATTTGTGTGAGCCATGTTATATATGCACATTCAGTTATTGGCAAGCTGCATTTCCAGAATATATCAGCGTGAATCAGCAAGCTGAATGAAGCTGTATCATAACATTAATTTGTTCTGTAACTCCTCAACTTATATATACATATACATGCCTCTCAATTCTCAACTGTGAAGCCAAACTGCATCGGGATTGAACAGTAACATGCACGCAAATTACCGAATAAAAAGGAACAAATTGACACGACATTCTAGTCTCCTTTTATTTGCAAAGTCCAATATCTGACCGCCTCAGAACAATCTGCGAGCTAAAAAAAAGGAACAAATTTGCATCACAAATTCTGCACTGCTACTTCTTCCGTCAAGGCGATGGCCGCTCCAAGGATCCTTCTGTCCATGTACGTCCACAGACGGACACTCCACCTGCTGGCAAGGTCGTCCATATGCATTATTTATATAATTGACAGTGTTAGACACGGCTTAACAAGCAACCAGTAACAAGTTGTAGTAGCATACTCGATTACTCCTTCAGTTGTTCCACATTGACACATTCTTCTTGGATTTCTTCCCTTGAAATTTCCTCCACTTCGTCCAACAACACTTCTTCTGTTTCATCCCCTGAAACGGCACATCCAGTCACGTGACGAGATATTCCAACAGCAAGAAAGGTACATACTCAGTATGCAACCTATAAAGCAGCAGTTGTGTTAATTGACCTGAGGCGTCAGCAGAGAGGCTGATGTTTTTCTTCAAGCTGAAAGGATCTCTCGTGTACTTCACGTACCACTTCCTTCGAATGTTGTTGTCGTCATCATTTTCATATGCCCTGACCTGCTTGATATGGCTGAACTTGTCCCACTCAGGGCTAGATTTCCCTTTACCTATGGAAGCGAGCAGTGAGACATCACAGTCTAGAAGTAAATCCCTTGGGTTTACGTCCTTCAAGTATCCAGGGAGTGTTTTCATGTCGTAGTCCTCCAGTCCGAGTTTCTGAAGTGCAGGCAAACCCTCTAGTACCTTTAACTCTGGGCACTCTATGATCCCGAGGTTATGGAAATTTGGCAGATTGCTGATCCTCTCGAGGCCTTGACATTCGATTACCTGAATTTCCAAATCAGAACCAAAGTTTTCCATAGCCCTTGGGTGCTCATGATGGTGTGGTAGTACGAACTCTGGGCCAATACGCTTGATGCCTGGGGCTCTTCTAATCTGTAGGAACTCTAAGCTGGGGAGCTGGCACAAACCATCAGGTAGCTCCGTGAAATAAGGCAAGTCTTTCATTAGTATAACTAGTAGAGAACAGACCTTTCATCCGAGGTCAAAATGGGCTCTAGTCTTGGTATTTTTTGCGCCCGGGACTAGAGAGACCTTTAGTCTCGGTTGGTGTCTCCAACCGGGACTAAAGGTCCCTCGTCTAACGACTCTGCGCTTTCTCGCACGATGGCAGGGGACCTTTAGTCCTGGTTGGAGACACCAACCGGGACTAAAGGTGGGCCTTTACTCTCGGTTGGAGCCACCAACCGGGTTAGTCCCGGTTGGTAACACCAACCCGGACTAAAGATAGACCCTTTAGTCCCGGTTGGTAACACCAACCGGGACTAAAGGTCCCCCGATGGGTTAGTTTAAAAGGGAAGCATCTCATCCATTGTTAGATGTGTTGTGTAGGTGGGATGGTAAGCTACGCGCGAGGCAATGCATGTGGTCTTGGGTTCGAATCTCACGGGACGCAGCGGTGGGATGCATTATTTTTTTAAAGCTGGGAGGACCTTTAGTCCCGGTTATGGCAAACCGAGACTAAAGAACAACATCTTTAGTCCCGGATGCTTGCTCCCGGGTGGGAAACCGGGACTAGAGGGGGTTCCCCACCGGAAGTAAAGCCCGTCTGTGCACTAGAATCCTCAAGCTTCCAAGGGACGAAATTTCTGTAGGCGTCATCCACTTCGGAAGTCGTTGACTGAAATACCCTTCGATTTGTAAATTTTCTAAGCAAGGCGGAGGGCAGAGCTCATCAAACACCTTCTCGATTTGTTGCTGCTCTTCCTGTTTCACCAACCGGTGAGCATCTCCACTTCTACTAGTGCACTGTAAGTACAGATAGCTGAGGCACACCTTTTCAGTAAGCTTAACCTTTATTTATAGCAAATGTGGAATAAGATACATTCTCCAGGCCACGAATATCAAGACTCATGAGCTGGTTAAGGGATCCTAATTCTTCCAAACTACACCGATCACCCTCCACGTGGGCTGGAAACCCCCTCAATGCCCTCAAATTTGTTAGGCTGCCGAAACCCCTGGGTATATTGTTTATACCTGAGTATGCAAAGCTTAGATACCTCAGCTGTTGTTACTTTCCAATGTCACCAGGAAGCTTCACCAAACTTTTACAATGAGAAAGGTCAATGCACTGCAAGAATTTCATCTTGGCTATTTTTTCTGGCAGCCTAGATGTGTTAGTGTACCATCTAGGCACAAATACCTCAAGTGTTTCAGTTGGACCAAAGATTTAGACAATGCATCAAAATTTCCATCTTCTATATGTAGGGTCCACAAACATGGAAAAGATGACAGTGAATCACCTGAGTTGATGTTTATTTCTCCAACTAAAACCATTGTTCGTAGTGATATATGTGCTTGTAGAGAACTCCATGCTAGCTTATCTGACTCTGATTCTTTGGTTTTTAGTGATAACCGGATAATTTTTTCTTGATTAATATTAATGGCGAGGCCAGCTACACTTTTGTGTGTTATTAGTGCTTCATCTCTAACCAAATACTGAGCGAATGAGCGAACAACATCATGCATATTGCAAACTGCATGGTCCGTGTACTGTTGATCTGGCAAATACTGAGCGAATGAGCGAACAACATCATGCAAATTTCCATCTTTTTAGTCATTTTCAAAATACAACTTTAAATCATTAATTTTATTTTAATATGTTTACAGGATCTAGTAAAACCATAATATTATGAGGGTGCTGGTACAGAAAAGGGTAAAAGTTACATATGTTATTTCAATGTTTCTAACTCAATTAGAAAAAGGTATTTAAAAAGTTATACTACTCCTTTTGTCACCGAGTACTAGGTCTTCTGAAAATTTAGGACAAAATAAATTAACAAGAGAAAAGTCTACAGTCCCATCATTAAACATCTTTGTTTAGTCCTGATTGGCTTTTATAGTCCATAATATATATTGCACATTCTGACGAGATTGTGGAGCATGGAATTTAGACATATTATGTGATTGTTTGGCACTGAGTCCTCCCCTAAGTGCTCCTCTGTAGGAGTCGGAGCTGGAGCCGGAGCCATATATATCAACCAGGACCTATGTAACTTGTGGGTTTGGGCTTTGTGGGTTCTCCGACGTCCATATGTGTTTTGGATTAAACAATAAATACCAGGAGCCCTTTGCAACCAAAAGATATATAGTAAAAGTTTAGAAATCTTAAACTCATGACCATCTAAAGAGTTGCGACCCCATAGGTATTAGTAACACTGTGTGTTAATGGTAGTACATTAGCACCAACGAAAATTGACTAGCAACTATTTTCATTTGTGTAATTTAAGAAAACATTTAAAAATATATATTACTACATGTTACTACTAATTAAAGAAATGGTATCCGCCAATGCTATTTTCATCGCTGGTTCAATTACAACTGCCCATGAAAATATATCACCGCCGGTTTTGAATGGAACCATGTCAAAATGAATTTCATAGCCAATTTGTGTCATGAACCGGGGGTGAAAACTGGTCTTGTTTTCACCGCCGGTTCAAGACATGAACCAGCAGTGCAAACTAGTCTCAAGTATATAACTTGATGCAAACCCTACCCCACTCTCTCCCTCACCCATAGTACTTCTTGGCCGCCACTCCCTCTCCCTCAACCGCACACTACACAAAGCTTTTGTAGGGGCGGCTGGTGACCCCTACAAATCATTTTTAGGGGTGGCTCCCTAAAAATCAATTTACGAAAATTCACGAAATTGGGCCAAAAAATAGCAAATTTTTTTTCAGAAAACTTACGGCATTTTCTGAGCGAAAATCGCTCACTTCGCATCTACGGGGATTCGAACCCGCGACCTCCCCCTCGCGCATACCATCCTCTACCACTGCACCTCACACTAACTTGTGTTTATATTGGATTTTGGTTCCCCATATATTATACTGAACCAAGCATAAATTGATTGTTTGAGGGTCTAAACGATGTCAAGTAAAAAAGTTGACAACTACAAAGTTTTATAACTTTTTGAGATCTACAACTTTCATTTTGCTAGTTTCTCCATCTGAGGTCGTTTACGAGATTTGAATTTCAAATTTGAGAATTCAAACATAGTTTTGCATGACAAGATGATTTCAAATGAAAAAGTTGTCAACTACAAAGTTTCATAACTTTTCGATATCTACAACTTTCGTTTTTGCTGTTTGTCCATCCGAGGTCGTTTCAAAAATTCAAATTTCAAATTTTTAAAAATTCAAACGTAGTTTTCCTTGACAAGATGATTTTAAATCAAAAGGTTGTCAACTACAAAGTTTCATAACTTTTCGAGATCTACAACATTCATTTTTCTAGTTTCTCCATCTGAGCTATTTTACAAAATTTGTATTTCAAATTTGAGAAATTCAAACGTAGCTAACGTTCACAAGATGATTTCGAATGAAAAAGTTGTCAACTACAAAGTTCTATAACTTTTCGAGATCTACAACTTTTATTTTGGTGATTTGATTATTTAGTCATCGGACATAGTGGTAGTAACATTGTTGATAAATTTTACATATCCCTCTTACAGTTTATAACTATAACTATAAGAGAGATATGTAAATTTTATGAACAATGTTACTACCACTTTATCTGATGGAGAAATGACCAAAATAAAAGTTGTAGATTTGGATGAGTTCTACAGCTTTTATGTTGATGACTTTTTCAGCTGAAATCATGTAATGTTTTAAAATAATGTTTAAAGTTGTTATTTTTTGAAATTCAAAATTCAAATAGATAAAACACGGTCACATTAAAAGATGGATACAATAATAGCTATAAGAACATAATAAATTGATAGAGCATAATTTTAGAAAATTTAAAAAAGATCATCAAATTTGAAGTTAGTATTAGAGAGAAAGACTAGTTACAAGTTTTAGCCACGGATTAAAAACAGAAATCAAAGTGCTTCGACAGTTTCAAAATTGAGTTTTAAACAACATTTTGAAGCAGTAAATGATTTCAAATGAAAAAGTTATAAACAGCAAGATCGTGGCGTTTTTCGTGCGAAAATCACACGCTTCGCGGCTGCGGGGATTTGAACCCGCGACCTCCCCTCGGGCATACCCTCCTCTATAACTGCACCTCACACTCACTTGTGTCTATATTGGATTTTGGTTTCCCATATATTATACTAAACCAATATATAAATTGATTGTTTGAGGGTCTAAACGATGTCAAATGAAAAAGTTGTCGACAACAAAATATTGTAATTTTTTGAGATCTACAACTTTTATTTTGGTAGTTTCTCCATCCATCCGAGATCGTTTATGAAATATAAAATTTAAATTTGAGAAATTCAAACGTAGTTTCCATGACAAGATGATCTCAAATAAAAAAGTTGTCAACTACAAAGTTTTATAATTTTTCAAGATCTACAACTTTTGTTTTTGCAGTTTGTCCATCCGAGGTCATTTAAAAAATTAAATTTTAAATTTTTAGAAATTCAAACGTAGTTTTCCTTGACAACATGATTTCAAATCAAAAAGTTGTCAACTACAAAGTTTTATAACTTTTCGAGATCTACAACTTTCATTTTGGTAATTTCTCCATCCAAGGTCGTTTACAAAATTTGAATTTCAAATTTGAGAAATTCAAATGGAGTTAACGTTGACAAGATGATTTTAAATGAAAAAAATTATCAGCTACAAAGTTTTATAACTTTTTGAGATCTATAACTTTTATTTTGGTCATTTGATCATTTGGTCATCCAACATAGTGGTACTAACATTGTTGACAAATTTTACATACCCCTCTTATAGTTTATGGAACTATGAGAGAGATATGTAAATTTTATGAACAATGTTACTACCACTTTACCAGATGAAGAAATGACCAAAATAAAAGTTGTAGATCTTGATGAGTTCTGCAACTTTTATGTTCATGACTTTTTCAGCTAAAATCATTTAATGTTTGAAAACACCGTTTGAAGTTGCCATTTTTTAAAATTCAAAATTCCAATAGATAAAACACAGTCACATGAAAAGGACAAACTAATAGCTATAAGAACATAATAAATTGATAGA